AAGCTGACTTTTAACCATTGAGTTCCTTTTTTGAAAAAAAATCTTTTTAAATCTCATTACTGTTGTCAGTGAAAAGAGTTGAACTCTAAAATATTTGAAGAGATTTATTCTGAGCCAAATATGAGTGATTATGGCCCATGACACAGCCCACAGGAGGTCCTGAGAACATGTGCCCAAGGTGGTCAGGGCGCGGCTTGGTTTTACACATTTTAGAGAAGCATGAGACATCAATTAAATACATTTAAGAAATACATTGGTTTGGTCCAGAAAGGTGGGACAACTCAAAACTAGGTGGGTATGGGGGGGCTTCCAGGCTGTAGGCCAATTTAAACATTTTCTGGTTGATAATTGGTTGAGTTTGCCTAAAGACACGGGATTCATAGAAAGGGAATGTTTGGATTAAGATAAAGATTGCAGAGACCAAAGTTCTTTTGAAGTCTTAACAGTGGCGGCCCTTAGAGACAATAGATGACAAATGTTTCCTATTCAGATCTTAGTTAATCGCTTTAGGATCGGGAGGATCTGGAAGAAAGAGATCTAGCTATGTTAACAGAGATTCTTTAAAGATGCAAATTCTCCCCTACAAAGAACCGCTTTGCAGGGCCATTTCAAGATACGGCAAAGAAACGTGTTTTAGGGTAAAATAATTTTGCTTTTCTTCCGTGTCTCAAAATGTAATGTCAGAGTCAGGTTGGAAAATAAATCACAATATATAGGCTTAAATAAAACCCTTATGATGAGAATTTATGATTTGTAGGACATGACTCCGCAGACACTTTAAACAGGAATTTGGGCAAGATAAAAAAATCAGTTTAGTCCTCACTATATGTCAGCTAGGACAAATTGCTGCTATTTCAGAAGTACCAAGTATCAAACCAGAACGGGCTTGATTTAGGAACCAAACCCAGGGCTGTTTTGGTAGGAAACAAAGAAAAAAGGCACAACCTTAGCTATCAGGTGGGACCTTAGTAGTGTGGGAGGACAGCCATTGCTTTCAGTTTGGCCTGGCTAACAAAAAGGTGGCTTTATGTAAATAAAGTCCCTTTAGTAGTCAAAATCAAAAATCTTTCCTCTTTTTTTTTCCTTTTTCCTCCCCTCCACATCACCTTTTTTTTTTTTTTTTTTAAGAATTTAGCCACTTCTTAGGCCTTCCTCCCCATAATTTGGAACTTTCCTTTGGATTTGATCAAGTTGGATAGAGTTGATCAAACCCAATGGGAAAAAGACCAAAACAACAATAAAAAACAGAAACAAACAACAACAAAAAAAAAAACAATTAAGCAAAACAAATAATGGAACAATTTTTATGATCACTGAGTGCTCTAATGGTAACGAGAAATTAAGACCAGTTGGTTGTTAATCTTAACTTTAACCAAGACAAACCCCAATTCAGTTACTTACCTAGGGACAAGTCTCAGGCTATAGACTGCTCTCTACCATTCAAGAAGCAGGAAAACAACAACAACAAAAAATAAATTTAAAAAAAAATACCAAAAAAAAAAAAACTACTCCTCTTCCCTGTTGGAAGTGAGCCAAACTCCATAAAGGAGTCACCTGCCTTCCAACGTCATAGAAACAGGAAATGTGTCTTTCTTGATGGAAGCAAGTAAAACTCCAAAAAAGAGGAGTTGTAGAGCAAAATAAAATTTAGATCTTGACCAAATTCGGGGAAATCAGGGATTCTCTGGAGGGGATGCTCTCAGACTTCAGCAAATTGTCCTATTGGTTTGAGTCATAAAATTAGCTCATGCTGGTACCAAGCACTGATAGGAGATTTGTCAAAGGTCAGGGACATCTCCACTCAGAATCCCTCTGTGGTTACCAAAATTTGAACCCCAAAAATTCGAGACAGGTCTCAGTTAATTTACAGTTTATTTTGCCAACGTTGAGGATGCAACCCCGTGACACAGCCTCAGGAGGTCCTGACGACATGTGCCCAAGGTGATCAGAGCGCAGTTGGGTTTTATACATTCTAGGGACATATGAGACATCAATTAACACATGCAAGATGAACATTGGTTCTGTCTGGAAAGGCAGGACAACTCAAAGCAAAGGCAGGAATACTGGAACCAGGGATGGGGCTTTCTAGGTCATAAGTAGATAAGAGACAAATGGTTGCCTTTTTTTGAGTTTCTGACTAAGGCTAGTTGAGTTGCCTCCTAAAGGAGGCAGTCAGATATGCATTTATGTCAGTGAGCAGAGGTGTGAGTTTGAACAGAATGGGAGGCAGGTTGGCCCTAAGCCATTCCAAGCTTCATTTTTCCCTTTAGCTTAGTGATTTGGGGGCTCCAAGATTTATTTTCCTTTCACAGCCCAATAACCCGGCAATAATTAAGGGAAAGGCAAGATGGAGGATGAATTAGCTCAGCTTACTGTTAAAATTTTCTCAGTGATACAATTTTTGCAAAGGTGGTTTCTACTCCCCAGCTACCACCCCTCTTGCCTAGTCATCTTATTCTTAGCCACAGAAACCACAGACCTCCCAACAATGTAGCAACTCAGGGGTTAACCTTGACACAGCAGGAACCCTCCCAGACCTCCCCAAGCTGGAAAGACCTGTGGCCTTGTCCCTTGAGGCCCTAAGGCTCTACTGATCATTATTTATTTTGACCATTACCCCCGGGTCTAAGTGTCCTAGCACAAAGACCAATAAAACAGAAGTTGGCATTTTAGAGGGTCTCATTTATTATCGCATTCTAATTTTTGAGTCAGAAGAGGAATTTTCCTAGAATCAAAGAATAGGTTAGTTGGAGATTTTTCTAATGTTCTTCTTTTAGTTAAACAAACAACATGCTTTTGGGAGGGAATAAATATCCTCCAAATTTATGTCATTAAAGACAGTGTGTGGTACTATAACGGTAATCTCCAAAGTCATCTAGAAATTGTCAATGAAGGAAAATACACATTTTAAATTTCTGCTAGGCAACATTTAAACTGGAAAAACAGTGGTCTTAAATAAGTTTAAATATTTTTTTCTGAATGTTTTTCTCTTTATTTTCAGAATTGAAAAGCAAGAACTACAACAAAATTACCTCTTACTTAAAATAGACCTTAATATGCAACTGGAATTAAATAAAGATACATTTTTTAAAGTCTGTTTTAGTTTTATTTTTTAATGTCCAATTACCAAATGAGTTAAGAGCACATACTTGAAGCCCAACTTCCTTGGTTAGCATCTCAGTTCCACACTTACTGGCTATGTGTGCATAGGCCAGTTACTTAATCTTTGTGTGGCTCCATTTCCTCAGCTGTAAAGTGAGGGTAACAGTATCGACCTTACAGGATTTTCATGAAGATTTACAAAGTAAATATTTACAAAGAGTTTAGAATAGTGCTTGCCACATAGTAAATGCTATCCAAGTGTTTGTTAAATAAAAAATAAGCACCTTAGATCACGTTTACCATCATTACCAATCTTTGATAAAGACAAAATTTTAAGTTGGAAATCCAAAGAAAACGTTTAAATAGAAGTCTAAGTTTTAAGGCTTGTTATAGAAAATTGGCATAAATCTCCCTCGTTGTCAACTTTCACCTATTCCACTCTCCATGGTGTTCCTTCTCTGCAAAGTCATCCACGTGTATTATAAAAGTGGATGCCTTGGATTGGTATGTTGACTAATTTGTTCTTAGCTCTTCTCTCATCAGCCTAAGAACAAGAAAAACAAGATTGAGGCCTCTGCTATGAAACTCTTAGGTAATAAAATTAATAGCACTGTTCATGCCTACCTAGAACAAAGGCTACCTGAGTACATGAGAATGTTTTCCTCGGTGTTAAAATGCCAGAGCACAAAGGCACCCCAGTTCTCCCTGGTGAGGGTTTGAGTCCAAATTGTTCACCGCCACCCCAACCCCCGCCTTTTTTTTCTTGAGACAGGGTCTCTGTTGCCCAGACTGGAGTGCAGTGGTTCGATCATGTCTCACTGCAGCCTCCACCTCCTGGGCTCAAGCCATCCGTCCTCCCACCTCAGCCTCCTGAGTAGCTGGTACTACAGAAGTACACCACCACACCTGGCTAATTTTTGTAGAGACAGGGTTTCACCATGATGCCCAGGTTAGTCTCGAACTTCTGGACTCAAGAGAGCCACTCGCCTTGGCCTCCCAAAGTGCTGTGATTACAGGCGTGAGCTACCCTGCAGCCCCGCTCACTCTTTGTTGCATAAATACCTGCTGTCAAGTCTTCCAACCTTGATTTGGTTACTTAACCTCACTCTTTGCCTCTAATCCCTCATCTGTAAACTGAGCGTTAATAGATTGCTGTGAGATTTAATACATAATGTGCCTACATATGTATGGTATAACAAGGATATCATAAACATTAGTTATTAATAATTTGTGGGAATAGGTCTTTCCAGTTTGGGCATTGCTTTTCCCTTAAAGGTTTCTTTCAAATATCTCTATGACCCAGAAAATGGGGCAGGGTAGCGGGAGTTGCCTGCTGGAGACGGAATGGGGAGTGGATGGATATAGCGGGCGTGGACTGACAGCGACAGAAGCTGATAACAGCACAGAAGGGCAAAGTCTGCTCTACAGCCCCCAAAATAAACTTGAGCCTGGCAATCCGCGCAGAACCCCAGAGGTCAGCAGCTTCGGTGCAAAGCAACTAACATCTGAAGGCTTCCACAAGCAGCAGGGCTCTGTCTAGCCGGGGAGACTTTTCGACCAGAGAGGAGCCAGAAGGAGGCCTCAGCGTAGCCTCCACTCCACTCAATTCCCGGAGTTACCTTGGCGGGCTCCACGCTCCGAAAGACGCCGTTGCTCTAAGAGGCGTGTCTGTGTTTCTCTAGTTCGCGGCTCCAGCAGCCGCGCCAAGGGGCAGCTGCTACTCCTGCCAGATACACTAGTTATCACGGGCCGCCCCCAGGCCTGTGGGGCCCCTGAGAATTCGCAGCAAGCCCCAGGCCCCGGGGCGCGGCTGGCGCTGAGGCCCCGCCTGGCCATGCCCATTGGCGGAGGCTGCTCTGGGGGCGGGGTCAGGGCGCTCCATTCCTAGACGCCGCAGCCCGGTCCGCCGCGGGTGAGTGTGGAGGAGAGGCCCAGGTGAGGAGCCAGCGCCCGCGTTCCGGAAGCCCCCTCCCGGGGCCATGGGGGCACAGGTGAGGCTGCCGCCTGGAGAGCCCTGCCAAGAAGGTTTGTGTCTGCCCTGGGCCGAGGGACCTAGCAGCTGGGTGGCCAAGACACCGGGTGGGCGGTCCCCGGATACTTGCGGAGACTGGAAAGGGGGGATGTACCGACTCTGAACGTAGTCGTTCACTCATTCATTCATTCGGTCAGTCGGCCGTCCAGCCAGGCGTTCAACACTTACTTAGGGCTGCCTAGGCGATTCGGGCTGTGCTGGAGAACCTGAGTGGAATAAGGCAGATGAGATTCCCACTCGATTCGCGAGGCCGACCCGTGTAAATTACCGCGTGCTGCGTGTGGAACTGGGAAACTCAGGATGCTATGGGAAGAATCCCGAGTCCCTCGGAGAAGGACGTTTCCTCTGACTCAGGCTGGCTTCCAAAGTCTGGGGCCGACGTCACCCGGTGGGCAGAGGGCGTGTCTGCCTGGGGGGCCCGTGGGAGTTCTGCGCTGCGCCCTCCTCTGACTCCCGGGCATCTAGTACCGCGAGAGGAGAGCCTGGGGCCGCGGGGGTGGGCGCTGGGCAAGTCTGGGCCGTCCACATCTCTCCTCTTCCTTGGAGATGAAAAGGTCTCCAAACCCACGAGCCTGTCTGACTCGCTGTGCAGTCATTCTTTGGCTGCTTAAGGCGAGAGCCGTACTGGAGAGGAAACCGGGAACTGGGAGCACTCGTTTGCAGGCTCTTCTCACTGCTTCCCGCCTGAGCCCTGTGAAATCTCTGGCCGAGGCTCCTTGCCCTTCGCCAGGTGTTCGCAACACTGGCGGGCTTTCTGCAGTCTCCATACCGAAGGCCCCGATAAAAGTAAGGAAGGGGGTAGGGGGAGCGACTGGAAGGATGTAGATACATTGAAATGATGGTTTTCACTGTACCCAGGGAAAAGCAGCTTTTTAATTTACCTGGTAATGCAGTAAAGGGGAGGGGAGGCAGTGAAAGGCATGGTAAGAACTATATATATACACACACATATATATAGTTCCCTTACATATATATGTATGTATGTATATACATATACACCTGTGCAAAGGTGCTTGCAACTTCCCTGGTTTCCTGTCCTCTTGACTTTCCAGCTTATTCCTTTTTAACAAGTGAGCTCGTCAAAACCATGCCAGCAAGGAAGAGAAGAGACATCAAAAAAAGGAGAAAAATGCCTGAACGATTCACAAACTATTTAAAAAAAAAAAAAAAAAAAAAAACTAAAATTTTAAGGCCTCTGGATCTAGAATTATCTTCTAGTCTTTTTTCTCAAAAAGAGCAAAAACGCCTGAACAACTCACAAACTATTAAAAAACAAAAATTTAAAGGCAGCTGGATCTAGAATTATTCCCTAGTCCCATTTTTTCTCCGAAAGAGAACAATTCACAAACTATTAAAAAACAAAATTTTTAAGGCAGCTGAATCTAGAATTATTTCCTAGACAGTCAGGTTGGGTGCCCTTTTTCTAAATAATTTCTAACCCAGCAAATCTGACGGTTACTAACACACCCACCCTTGTTTACCCAAGGATCTGTAAGTAAGGAGGGTATATGAATTACACCCACTAAAGTGTTTGAGCTTCCGGATATTTTTCCTGCTTTGCTTGTTCATTGAGTTCCAACAAGAAACATTTAAGCTCCAAGCTTAATACCTGTGATTACGCATAGTAATTAATTGTGTGGAAAGCTGGTGAGGAAGACTTAGAAATCTGAATGCACGTTATTAGTAGTGGGAAGAGATTAGGCTTTGGCATCAGACAGTCTGAGCTGTAACTTAGCTTCTTTGAGCCTTTTGCCTGTCTATAAATTGTCTATAAATTGGGGATCATCCCTCCAGTTTACAGTTCTGAAGAGTAGGTACAGGTGGGATTACATATGAACTATACCACTCAGAGCTTGACATGGAGTAAACAAAGACTCAAAATTTCACTTGTTTGTTCAAATAACAAGAGTCCCATGTGCCAAGCAGTGGCATAGGTACTAGAATAAAGGGATCTGCAAGTCTGGTCCTAGACTCTAGGACTAGGTTCCTGCTCTCAGGCACCTTACTGTCCAGATGGCAGCTACTATGCAAGAAACAAAGTAATTTGAAAGATCATTATAATAGCAGTAATGTATCAAGAGTGTTGGGATGTTTAGATTGGGTATTCAGTGAAAGCCCCTTAAGAAAGTGATATTCAAGCTGAGACCCAAATGACAAGGTGTCAGTCATGAGATCTGAAGATAGAGCATTCCACTTGAACTTCCATGAAGAAAAAGTTAATTTCATACTTTGGTTTTGACTTTTTTTGTTTTTTGTTTTTTGTTTTTTGTTTTTGTTTTTGTTTTTGTTTTTGTTTTGTTTTTTTGAGGAGGAGTCCCACTGTGTCGCCCAGGATGGAATGCAGTGGTGCAATTTCGGCTCACTGCAACCTCCACCTTCTGGGTTCAAGCAATTCTCCTGCCTCAGCCTCTCAGGTAGCTGGGGCTACAGGCACATGTCACCACACCCAGCTAATTTTTGTATTTTTAATAAGGGTTTCACTGTATTGACCAGGCTGGTCTTGAACTCCTAACTTCAAGTGATCCTCCCACCTTGGCATCCCAAAGTGCTGGGTTTACAGGTGTGAGCCACCCCTCACCCCACATTGGTTTTGACTTTTAAAGCTACAGATGCTTCAAAAGAGTCTCTAATCCAAAATTATCTTTAAAAGAAACAAATTCAAACATGTATGAAGGTTGTTATAAAACTGTAATTGAGCTGTATGAGGAAGTCTATTTGATTGGGAACATATGACGGAAAGTGAGAGGTTCCTTTAGATTGGGAAGGCAGGGAAGGCCTCTCTGAGTTGCTTAGTCCTCTCACTTAGAAGAAGCTAGCTATGCCAGCCAGCACTCCGTAACAGGCTCAGAAACGGCTGCTTTTTAAAAAGTTTAAGTTGAGAAGGAACTTATTCTATGAAAGGAACAGAAGCAAAGGCAATAGTGGGGAATGAGATTAGACAGCTGGAGACAGGATTCCACGGGGCCTTATAGACTATAGTGGGAATTTGGGATTTTTTTCTGAATGAGAAGGGAAGCCCTTGTGGAGTTTTGGAAGGAGGAATGACAGGATCAGACCTACTTTGTCTAAAGGTTCATTTCACCTGATCCTTCTCCCACCTACTCTTTAGCCACATCTCATACCATCTCCCTTTCTGTCACCCCAGGTAACCTGGCTGACCACAGTTTCTTCAACCCCTCAGGGTTTCTGCTTTTAGACTTAGCGGAGAGGCTCTTTTGTTTAATCCTGTTTTAAAAAAATCTATTCCTTGATGCTGCTTTTACTACTTGCCATGGCACTCTTAACATACATATAGTTATTTGTTTGTTAATCTTATCTCCCCCTACTGGAATATAAGAGAGAGGGAACATTGTTGTATTCATTTTTGTGTCTCCAGATTCTAGAAAATGCCCAACAGGTAGTACACCATACATATTTGTTGAATGAAGGAAAAGAAGATTAGTGTTTCAGAGAGGGGTGAGAGGGAGAGTAATGCAATATGATGTCAGAGATGAGGCAGTTTCAGAGCATGAGAAGCTTTAAAGTTCAAAGTTAGTGAGGAGTTGAGATTTTGTTAAGATGAAAAACCATGACAGGGGACAGGGAGGATTAAGCCAGGGAGTGATACAACCTACTTCCCACTGATTAGTGTTTGGAGAATAAATTGTACCAGACATAAAGAGATTTCATTCAGTCATTCCTTTGCTAATATGAATAGGCAGGTATATCACATATTCCTGCTTAGGTTTCTAGGTCAACTGAAGGTTGACTGACCTAGATGGGGCTCACCTATGTGTCTCTGCTTCAGGCTACACGTCCACCTGGGTTTGGCTCCTTCATGTGGGATGAGCTCAGATCTGCTCCATGTGTCTTCATTTGAGTGCTGAGGCTGAAGGGAGAGCAACTCCTCAGGGAATTACAGAGATGCAAATGAGTAAACCCAACCACATAAGCATTTTTGAAATCTAGCTTCATATCACTTCTGCTGACATCCCATTGGCCACCAAATCACTTTCAGCCCAACATCAGGTGAAGCACCTTTGCCCACATTGGGAAGGGTAAGGGGCTGAATATTGAATGAATAATAATCCAAACTATCACAGTAGAATAGATGGTGAGACCCCCAACAGGAAATATCTTGCAGTGATTAAAAAGGTAGTTTTATACAATCATTGACTTTCTTAAAACCAGATTTCTATTCCATGTAATAAACTGGACCATTTAAATTATTATTTATATTATTATTCTCTATAGGCAAAGATTTGACAAATTATTTAAAGCATTTCATCCTCATATAAATGAATAATACATTTCAACTGGCTTTTTCTTGTACTTTATGTTTTTATTTTTCTGAAATAGAATGCTGGATGGGATTTGGGTTACTTGGCCCTGGTTTTAGCAGTTACATAACTTTGGCCAGTGTCACTTAATATATTGGCATCAGTTTCTTTAAACTATCTCCCGTCTGTCAGTGTCTATGAGTTTAGAACTGGTCCATCAGCAACATTTATGAGGCACCAGTATGTAAGTAATTCTGAGAACAAACATAGATTATGATCAAACTTTAGAATCACTGAGTCAAAGTCCCTCATTTTACAGATGGGGAAACTGAAACCAAGAGCCATTACTCAACTTGCCCATGATTATAGATGGTAGATCTTCATTTTTAAATGTTAAAGGTGTGTGTATGTAAACTATTACACCTGTACGTAGAAGATAAATATTAGGTTGATCTATATGAAACTACTTGTCATAGGGTTCAAATTTTTCAGTTATCAATTTCATATAGTTCAACATAATAGAAGAACATTAGGAGTACTGTTTGTAGGATCTGTAGATTACTTAAATATCAACCAACTATAAAATAGAAAAATTAATTGTGTGATATACAGTGGAATTCTCTAGAACAGTGGGGGAAAAACAAATCCTACAGCCACATACATCATGTCTTGATGAATCTCGAAAACAAGTCACCGAAGAACGATGTCTTTATCATTACATTTTCATAGGTGCAAAAAGAGGCAAAAACATTTTCAAGATATATGGAGAAAATCTTTTTTATAAGCAAAAGAATGTTAAAGAGAAAATCAGGATAGTTATGAACTCTGAGGGGTGATGCTTTATTTCTTAAATTAGCTGTTTGATACATTGGTGTGTATATATATATATTTATAACATATATTTCCTAAATATTCATTACTCTCTATTTAGAAAAATAACATCAAAGAAGAAATACATGTTCTTGGCTAGCAAGAGTATACCTTGGTATAGTCACTTTAGAGGACTATTGATGGTGTTTATTAAAAATGAAAAATAATGAATGTAGTAGATGTTCTCTTTCTGTGGAATAAAGTCTGCATTAAACTCCCTGGAAAATTACTGTGCTTACTTGAATCTTGATAAGCCAATTGTGACTTGAGATGTCTTTGATTCCTTTAAAACACTCCAAATTCCCTGCCCACACAACCTCCATTACCCATCTCTCCCCTTCTCCCGTAGGCCACTCCACATCCACTAACCCATCCTTTCTTTCCTCTTTCAGTCATATCTGCCGTAGGCTCTCTCTCTAACATGTTCCCAAAGCATAAAACAATTTAAGTCCTAAGGTCAGTAACCAGACAAGATTTTTATTATTTTTCCTGCCATAAAACTTGGAGCATTCATGCCTGCCAGTTACAATGAGAACTTGCAAAATGCAACAGTGATCATTTGATCTCCCTTATGACCCTCTGCTCCCACACCCCCTACAATGTCAGAAACATTTTGCTATGTCAACAACTTAGAAGGAATATTGTTTCACTGGAATGAGATCCACCCACACTGATTTCAGAGACAAAGTTTTGGAATGGTTATGTTAACTGCATAGTAAATGACATGAATGCAGTCATGGAATTCACTGGTAAGTCAGGTCCGATATTTTCTCAGGAATGAATGTAATCAAAATTCTTACAAAAATATACTTAATCACTTTCCCTTCTTGGGGCTTAAATGAGATAAACATGGTGTGGAACAAGATTGCTAAGGGCTAACTTGCTTGAAAATTTGCAGCATCAGCCTGACCAATGTAGTGAGACCCCATCTCTACAAAAAAAATTTAAAAATTAGCTGGGCATGGTGGTGCATGCCTGTGGTTCCAGCTACTTGGGAGGCTGAGGTGGGAGGATCATTTAAACCCAGGAGGTCAAGGTTGCAATGAGCTGTGATGGCACCACTGCACTACAGCCTGGGTGACAGAGTGAGACCCTGTCTCAGAAAAAAAAGAAATGAAAATTTGCAGCAGTTAGAATATTTAGTTTTGACTTTGAGTTTATTCTGGATTTCTGTTTCTTTGTTTTGTTTTTTTGTTTGTTTGTTTTTGTGGAGATCTCGCTATATTGCCCAGGCTGGTCTTGAACTCTGGTGCTCAAGGAAACCTCTAGCCTCTGCCTCCCTAAGTGCTAGGATTACAAAGGTGGGACACCATGTCCAACTATTCTGGATTTCTGAAGCAAAGTTGGGTCATTTTCAAATTACAGAAATAAATTAAATAATAGTCATGAAAACCTTGAATTCCATTATTTTATTATTTTCCAGACCTGAACTTCATGGGTGTTTCTTAACTTTGCATGTGGTAAAATTCAGGTGGCTTCATGAAGCTTTGCCAGAGGTACATAGGTCCACTTATGGAAGTCTTGTTGCTAAGACATCATTTGATCAAACAGCCTTTTGTTGCTTATATGCCTTAAGATTTTTGAAATGTAAAACTTTTCTAAAAATTGAATTACAAAATTGTATCTGATTAATTTTCCTTTACCCTCTTTTGTTTAGGGTAATTCATAATGGGAGAATTTGCCATTTTTAAAGGAAAAAGGATGGGAAGACAGAACATCTTGTCACAATGTCACCTTGTTGGTGTCTTTTCGAGTGGAGAACAGATTACAAAAACTTCTTACATAGTGTAAAACTTCATTTCATTTTGTTTTCATTTTGTGTTTTAGTGTTTAGCCTCAAAATTCCAAGACATTTATAATAGTGGACTTGGTTCAGGGGATTTACATACTTCTTTGAATCTCATTTTTTAAAAAACCTAATGATACTTAATTCATTTTTTATTAGATTCTATTTTCTTTAGGAGACAGTGTATTAACAGACCTGAAAAATCAGGGAAAGTGGTACAGAAAACTAAACTCACTTTTAAAACGTTTTCTGAAATATATAATTCTTCATGCCCATCAAATGACTCACACCCCACCAAAATAGTTAGACAGATTTCTTCTTCTTCTTCTTCTTCTTCTTCTCTTCTTCTTCTTCTTCTTCTTCTTCTTCTTCTTCTTCTTCTTCTTCTTCTTCTTCTTCTTCTTCTTCTTCTTCTTCTTCTTCCTCTTCTTCTTCTTCTTCTTCTTCTCTTCTTCCTCTTCTTCTTCTTCTTCCTCTTCCTCCTCTTCTTCTTTCTTCTTTCTTTTTCTTTCTTCTTTATTCTTCTTCCTCCTTCTTCCCTCCTCCTCCTCCTCCTTCTTCTTCTTTCTTCTTCTTCTTCTTCTTTTTTTGGAGATAATCTCGTTCTGTCACCCAGGCTGGAGTGCAGTGGCACGATCTCAGCTCACTGCAACTGCCTCCCAGGTTCAAGTGATTCTCCTGCCTCCACCTCCAGAGTAGCTGGGACTACAGGCATGCACCACCATGCCCATGCCCCTCTAATTTTTGTATTTTTAGTAGAGATGAGGTTTCACCATGTTGGCCAGGCTGGTCTCGAACTCCTGATCTCAAGTGATCCACCCACCTTGGCCTCCCAAAGTGCTGGGATTACAGCCATAATGCCCAGCCAATTTCTTTTTTCTTTTTTTCTTTTTTGAGACAGGGTCTTGCTCTGTTACCTAGGCTGGAGTGCAGTGGTGTGATGGCAGCTCACTGCAGCCTCCTCCTCCTGGGCTCAAGCAATCCTCCCGCCTCAGCCTCCCGAGTAGCTAGGACCACAGACATGCGCCACCATGCCTGGTTAATTTTTCTTTTTTTTTTATGTAGATGGAATTTCACTATGTTGCCCAGGCTGGTCTCAAACTCCTGGGATCAAGCAATCATCCCACCTTGGCCTCCCAAAATGCTCGTATTACAGGTGTGAGCTACCACACCCAGCGAATAGATTTCTTGCAATGTGATTTCTAGACTGAGGGTGCTATGCTTCCTCCCTACATTCAGGCCCCACAAGCCCTACTTTCCAGTAGCCAGGCTGATAAAGCAGAGTGAAGGGGATGTGACAGGCTGTGTTGAACTGTTGAGCACAAGCCAGGTCTGAACAGCTATTCACTGCTCCATCAAGTTGCTGATTCTCCAGAACAAAGACACAAGTGTTGCCAGATCGAATTTATAGGGGGAATCCAGGCTTTCATGTGAAATTGCTCATTTTTAAGTGATGACAGCTAAACACTTTAAAATCATTTTTAAAAATCTGTGCAAGCCAATTTGACGATGTCTGTAGGCCTGTGGGCCACCTGTTAAGGACTTCCCTGCATGTAGTAAAATGTTTCAGTACCATCCACTCAAGGCTCTGTTTCCTGCAGAAAGCTAGTAAACCTTAATACCTCTCCCTTTCATTCCTGACATTCTCTTCTTTCCTTTTTTCCAGGATATGTGCTGTCTCTGGTCTGTCCAAACTCCTTCCAGGCTTGGTGTGAGATCACAAATGTGTCACAGCTGCTGGCTTCTCCTGTGCTCTACACGGACCTGAATTCCAGCATAAACAACTTGAGCATTTCAGCAAATGTAGAAAACAAATACAGTCTTTATGTGGGCTTGGTACTGGCAGTAAGTTCAAGTATTTTTATTGGCTCCAGCTTCATCCTGAAAAAGAAGGGCCTCTTGCAACTGGCCAGCAAGGGTGTTACTAGAGCTGGTAAGAAACACATGCGACCAATGAATTTAAGTTTCTAACTGCAGAAATGATCCTGTTATAAGGCCACATCTCAACGCTACTCTTATAAACTTGCTTGTGTAATTTATAGTTATTGATTTTTTCCATATGGATGTTAGAAAAATACTTAGGTCTTTGATTAAAATGAATAGAAAACTCATGGTTAATGAAGGGATAGTCTGGCAGACCTACTCAGCATCTTAAGTGTCACTATAAATAGCAGCCTAATTCTATTATTATCCATTTATTGATTTAATAAATATCTATTAGGGGCCAAACACTGCTAGGGAAGGTTCCTGTTCTTGAGAATCTACTATCAAGGCAAGTAAACCTATCAGCAATAAAAAAGAATACACGTACAACTAAAAATTATCCTAGGCTACAGTAATAATAACTCACTGGCTTGGTTTATCTTAGTCTCTATCTTCTTGATGGAGTCAGCTGTGTCTCCCAGTGTCTGATCTCTGCCACCTCTCCAACTTCTGCTTTTCTCCCCATCACCTACTTTTCTCTTGTTCCTGGAATAGGTCTGGTTCTGTCCCACCCGCAGGTCTTTTCCCATTGCCTGGAACTCTTCTCCCTGCCCTTCATTCAGCTGACTCATCCTTCAGACTTCAGTGTGAGTAGCATCACCTCATAAAGGCCTTCCTTGACCATTCTCTAACAGCAGGTCTCCCCACCCCACCCCCATGATTCTCTGTCATTGCACTAATAGTTTCCCTCACTTGTACCTAGGATAATTTTTAGTTGTACATGTATTCTTTATTGTTGTTGATAGGTTTACTTGCTTATTGATAGTAGATTCTCAAGAACGGGAACCTTCCCTAGCAGTGTTTGGCACCTAATAGATATTTATTAAATCAATAAATGGACAACAATAGAATTAGGCTGCTATTTATAGTGACATTTAAGATGCTGAGTAGGTCTGCCTGACTATTCCTTCATTAACAATAAGTTTTCTATTCATTTTCATCAAGTATACTTTAAGATCTAAGCATTTTTCTAACATCCATATGGAAAAAAACTAAAGACTATAAATTACACAAGCAAGCTTATAAAAGTACTATTGAGATGAGATTTGTACTATCAGAAAATATATGCTATATTAAAACAATTTGATACTGGCATTAAAGCAGACAAAATCATAAAAGATAATTTAAAACTTATAAGCAGACCCAAGTATATATAACAATTGAATTTGTTATTTTAAAAAGTGGCATTTCAAAACTGTGGAGAAAGGACAAATCATTCCAAGTATTGAGACAATTGGGAAAAATTAGAGGAGAAAAACATGAAAGTTCTACTTCACACCATTCAGCAAAATACATTCCAGATAGGTTAGAATTTAATATAAAAATAAAATAATTTTTTTTTTTTTTTTTTTTTTTTTTGAGACAGAGGTTTGCTCTGTCGGCCAGTCTGGAGTGCAATGACATGATCTCTGGCTTGCTGCAACCTCCACCTCCCAGGTTCAAGTGATTTTCCTGCCTCAGCTTCCCAAGTAGCCGGGATTACAGGCATGCGCCACCACGCCCAGCTAATTTTGTATTTTTAGTAGAGACAGGGTTTCACCATGTTGGCCAGGCTGGTCTCGAACTCCTGACAGATGATCTATCTGCCTCGGCTTCCCAAAGTGCTGGGATTGCAGGCGTGAGCCACTGCGCCTGGCCAAAAAAATGAAATAATCGGAAAAAAAACCCTTTTATAAGCATAAAGATAAAGAATTCATTTTATATAAAGGAACAGATTATCTAGATTGAGAAAAAAATCCTATATGGAAAAAATTTAAAAACTGAAACTAAAAAGTAAATGATGTATTGGGGAAAATATGATGAAATATGTGACAAAGTATAGTTTCATAATATATAAAAAGTAACTGCAGTCAATAAGTAAAAAGGTTAGTACCCTAACAGAAAATAGACATAGCATATAAACAAGAAACAAACAAAATAAGAAATGCAAATGACCAATAAACATATGTAAATAAATATTGTTTCACTAGTACCCAAAGAGATACCAACTAGACAATAGGTTCAGTGTGGTAACATAATTCCAACTTAGTTATTTGCAAATGTAATGACCAATAAACATACATAAATAAATATTGTTTCGCTAGTACCCAAAGAGATACCAACTAGACAATAGTCAGGTCCAGGGTTGTAATATGATTCCAAGTTAGTTATTTGCCAATTTCTTAAGGAGAAAGTCCTAAATAAGCACAGTTAACTACTTTGCAAAATAGTCTTCATAGCATATATATCCTGTTTAATTATAACAAAATCAATTAGGTCAAATGCAGAGGGCTAAGTATATTAAAATTCATAAGAAAATTCCATTTTCTATAGTAAATATAATGACATAAAGTCATAGATTAGAGTAGTAGGAAGATAACCCTTTGAATACCTTAAAAGCATTTTGTCCTTTTCAGTAGATGAAATAGAAACTTGATTTCAGTATGACAAGGTAGAAAATAAGCAGAGTGCATCTACCTGATGCTTGTTATTCTCTCATTGACTAATCCAAACTCTCAAAAGCTCTTATGTCAACCATCTTCTTCCCTTTACAGTCCTCATTAGTACCAATGTAATTTACTATTTATGTTTTCTGTTTTTAATTTTAACCATAGCTGAAATGAAGTATTTGTATCCACACATCTGACTGATGTAAATACGGTGAACCTGATGATTAAATAAAATTTCCTACAAATTAAGAAAAACTTATCATTTGTGGAAAAGCAAAGGTGACACGGCAACATAATACAGAAAGTTTTAAGCAATCATAAGCAAAAAGAACAAGGCTGGAGGTATCACAGTACCTTCAAATTATACTGTAAGGCTATCATAACCAAAACAGCATGGTACTGGTATAAAAATACACACATAGATCAGTGGAACAGAATAGAGAACTCAGAAATAAAGCCACATACCTACAACCAACTGATCTTTGACAAAGTTGAAAATAATATATGCTAGGGAAAGGCTGCCCTAGTCAATAAATGGTGCAAGAAAAATTGTAGAACCATATAGAAGAACAAAACTGGACCTTATATCTGACCATATACAAAAATCTACTCAAGATGGATTAAAAACTTAAATGTAAAACCTGAAACTATAAAAGCCCTAGAAGAAAACCTAGGAAAAACTTTTCTGGACACTGGCCTAGGCAAAGAATTTGTGACTAAGTCCTCAAAAGGAAATGCAACAAAAACAAAAATAGACAAATGTGACTTAAAGTAAAAAGCTTCTACAGAGCAAGAAAAATAATCAACAGGGTAAAAAGCCTGCAGAATAGGAGAAAATACTTGCAAACTAAGCATCTGACAAAGGTCTAATACCCAGAATCTACAAGGAACTCAGTCAACTCAACAAGAAAAAAACAAACCCATAAAAAAGTGGGTAAAGGATATGAACATACGTTTTTCAAAAGACATGCAAGCGACCAACAAATATATGAAAAAATGTTCAGTGTCACTAATCACCAGAGAAAGGAAAATTAAAACCTAATGAGACACCATCTTACACCAGTCAGAATGGCTATTATTAATAAGTCAAAAAACAACAGATGGGCCGGGCACGGTGGCTCAAGCCTGTAATTCCAGCACTTTGGGAGGCCGAGACGGGCGGATCACGAGGTCAGGAGATCAAGACCATCCTGGCTAACCTGGTGAAACCCCGTCTCTACTTAAAAAATACAAAAATCTAGCCGGGCCAGGCGGCGGGCGCCTGTAGTCCCAGCTACTCGGGAGGCTGAGGCAGGAGAATGGCATAAACCCGGGAGGCGGAGCTTGCAGTGAGCTGAGATCCGGCCACTGCACTCCAGCCTGGGTGACAGAGCGAGACTCCGTCTAAAAAAAAAAAAAAAAAAAAAAACCAACAGATGTTGGCAAGAATGCAGAGAAAAGGGAATGCTTATACTCTGTTGGTGGGGATGTAAATTAGTACAACCACTGTGGAAAACAATATGGCGATCTCTCAGAGAACTAAAAATAGAACTGCCCTTCAATCTGGCAGTCCAGCTACTTGAGGAAAAGAAATCATTTTATCAAAAGACACTTGCACTCAAATGTTTATCACACCACTATTCACAACAGCAAAGTCATGAAATCAACCTAAGTGCCCATCAACAGAGGACTGGATAAAGAAAATGTGGTTTATTTATATACAGACACCATAGAATACTACTTAGCTGTTAGAGAAATGAAACCATATGTTTTGCAGCAACATGGAGAGAACTGGAGGCCATTATCCTAAGTGCAGTGACTCAGAAACAGAAAATCAAAAGCTGCGTGTTCTCACTTGTAAGTGGGAGTTAAACCGTGGGTACACATGCACATTTAAAGTGGAATAATGGACATTAGAGATTCCAAAAGGTGGGAGGGTAAAAGGGTAGAAGCAGGTGAGGGATGAAATACTACCTATTGGGTTCAATGTTCACTATTCAGGTAATAGATACACTAAAGGCCAGACTTTACAATAGATTGATGTAACACAACTACACTTGTACCCCGAATCTCTTTTAAAAATCAGGAAAAATAAAACAAAAATGAACTCCTGATTCATAAAAGAATAAAATGGGTGGCAAACAGAAAAATGTAGATTGAAACGACATACCATTTTAAGACTATCAAATTTGCAAAGTTTTTTTAAAAATTGACATAACTTTTCTGGCAGGCAATTTCTTTAAAAAATGCATTTCCTCCTACTCAACAATTACACTTCTAGGAATTTATCCTGGAGAAATAATCATTCCAGTGTTACAAAGATGTATGTGTAGGGAGGTTCATGAGAGCATTATAAGAGAAACGTGGAAAAAAATCTAAATGCAATTAATTCATTAGGGGATTTGTTAAATCATTGTAAATTGGGGGGGGGAAAGCTTTAAAAGAGCTTTGGAAATGACCAAGTAAATAAGCTAAGAGACTTTAGTTTACTGACTTAACTTTTCTAACCATAATCCAGTACGCTTCCTAGAAGTCAATTCTTCAAACCTTCCTCCAGTGTAGAACCCATTTTTTGTTAATTTTTATTTTTTGTATTTTAGGACAAGGTGGACATTCTTACCTGAAGGAATGGCTCTGGTGGGTAGGATTGCTGTCAAGTAAGTTTTTAATACTGAGAATACTGTTTATTTGTAAGACAGTAAATAGATTATATGAAATTTTTCAAAATTGGTTAATCTTCCTGTCAAGAATGGAACAAGGATGGAATTTAAGTCTAAAAATTTTTGTGTTGGTATAATATATTGTCCTATATATACTATTATATATGAATAAATTAATTTTTACTCTTATTTCCCACCACCTGTGCCCTCAGTACTGTCTTGGAATGCAAGGGAAAAAGTTGACCTTTCAAATATTGTATTTTAACCACAGACTTCTGCTATTTTCTTCACCAAAACAATAGAGAAAAGTACTTTTCTTTCGTGTTTTCCCACCTCCTAATTTGAACCTGTGACTATATATACTACATATTTTCTCAAGAACGAGTAGAGTTTCCTTGCCAGGACAACAACATGGATAAGTGAAAGGCTTCTGTGGCTGCTTGGTACTGAACAAATGGAGAAGAAATGAGGGGTGTCAGCACTTTCCTTCCTCCCAGACCTGCTGTGAGGATTAAACGAGACTTTGTAGGATCTGAAAGCACTTTCTAAATGCTAATGTGATATCCAAATAGAAGGCAGTGTTCATCTCCCTCAGCCACTTTTGCTGACTTCAGTCTCCCCACTAAGTGAAATTTCTTAAATCCCAAAACGGAAGCTCCCCTCAAAAAGGGCATCATAAATTCCCTCTGTAGCCAGGAGTCTTAAAGCTTCCCTGAATTTCCCCAAACCAAGCAACACATTTCAGTATTTGTAAGATCCTGTTATGGGAAGGAACTGGGTACCGTTTCTTTGATAAATGGTGGAGTCTAAAAGTGTGATTAATGAAAATAATTTAAATATGTATAGCCCCTTTAGTGTTTGTTTATTGTAGTTTTTTGTTGTTGTTGTTGTTGTTGTTGTTTTGAGGCGGAGTCTTGCTCTGTGGCCCAGGCTGGAGTGCAATGGCACGATCTTGGCTCACTGCAGCCTCCACCTCCCAGGTTCAAGCGATTCTCCTGCCTCAGCCTCCCGAGTACCTAGGATTACAGGTGCACATCACCACACCCAGCTAATTTTTGTATTTTTAGTAGAGACGAGGTATCACCATGTTAGCCAGGCTGGTCTTGGAACTTCTGATCTCAGGACACCCACCTCGGCCTTCCAAAGTGCTGTGATTACAGGCGTGAGCCACCGTGCCCAGCCACCCCCTTCAGTTTTTAGGGTGCTTTTACATCCACTTTATCTATTTGAATAAAAATTGACCAGGGCTGTCTGGGAAGATTCCAGATAGGTATTTGGATCATTCTCTTTTTCTCTTTTACTTGCATCTCCCCACCCTCTACCCATACTTTATAATGAAATTATAAGGAGAATATTATGTGACTACATTTGCGATTTTGCTTTCACCATGTAAAAATGTTTATGTCAGTATTGAAGAGAGAAAAGCATACCTTAGAGATTAAGTAAGTGACATACATACAGTACTTTAATCATGAAGTCAATGTTTTCCTGGAAAGCTATTTATAAAGATAAAAATATAAATAATATAAAATATCCAAGGAAACCTTAATATTCCAAGAAAACTGCCACGGTTCTTTGTTTTTTTTTTTTTTTTTTTTCTATTTTTTGTTTAGTTTTTTATTTTTTGAGACAGAGTCTCACTCTTGTTGTCCAGGCTGGAGTGCAGTGGCTCACTGCAACCTCCACCTCCCAGATTCAAGTGATTCTCCTGCCTCAGCCTCTAGAGTAGCTGGGATTAAAGGCGCTTGCCGCCACAGCCGGCTAATGTTTGTATTTTTAGTAGAGATAGGGTTTTACCATGTTGGCCAGGCTGATTTCAAACTCCTGACCTCAAGTGATCTGCTCCCGTCTAGCTCCCAAAGTGCTAGGATTACAGGTATGAGTCACTGGCCTCGCCGTAGTTCTTTCGATGAGAGCAATGTCTTAATTATTCTGTTCTGTAAGTTTAGATTTGTTTAATGATGTTTTCCTAATGGTGAGTACTCCTATAGATTTGGGGGGATGTAGCATAGCAGCCAGACAAATGGAAAAAGAAAAAAATTATGCTAGTGTTCCTTTCTCTCTCTGCAATAAGCATTTGCTTGGTGTAGTTGCCAGCATGAAATACTACATTCTGTGGGCAAGTTTCCAGCTGTGTTCTGTGAGAATAACTTGGCCCCAGTACAAGAGCCCAGCTCTTGAAGGGATTTCTCTCACTCTAGAAGTTATTTATAGCACACTATATCATGCAAGTCTAGAGTTCCTCGGATAAGAAAAAGATTACATTCAGGAGCATATCATGACTTTAAAACAGCTCCCTGGATCTTGTTAAGCTACTGAGATACTGTTACTTGCTTGTAGATCACTTACAATAGAGGCATATCTAACTTCATGGGACTGTGACAGGTATTGCTAGCTATTCCCTACCTACACACCAGATTTAACCATTCTAATTTTCCAAACTGGTTTTGGTGGTTGTGGGTAACCTACAAAACTATAGGTATTCTTGAGCAAGTGAAAGAATTATCTGCTTACTACAAAGCTACCTCTACTAGAGTTGATCAGAGTCACCAAATGTGTCTTCAGTAGCTAAAAATTTCTATTGAAAGCCATTTAAAATGGGTACTCATCTGTCACCATTTTTTGCATCTTTTGAGTTTGTATCACCTGGTATTACAGTTTGTCTGCATCTCTTAATATTAATTATCTCCTACCCGCTATAAAACACGTTACATCATTCTTTTTAGCTACATCTTCCCATGTCTTTGGGTTAAAAGTCCACTGCTTTGCATGACTCATTTGTTTTTCTCTTCTGAGAAGCAAGCCCATTTTTTATGTCAATATCTCTGCTTGCTTTCTAGTGGGAGCAGGAGAAGCTGCAAATTTTGCTGCTTATGCTTTTGCACCTGCCACCTTGGTCACCCCTCTGGGTGCCCTGAGTGTTCTTATAAGGTATGTGAGCAACAAGGAACTTGGCTTCTGTAGGTATTTTAAGACCAAGATAAACTTAAACCATAAGAAACATACGGCTATGGATATCTAAAAGCAAACACACAAATCTAGACCAACCTGGGCTCTAAAAGTCTAGATGAACCCAAATTATTTCTGAGACTCCTGGGAAGCTTTGGACAAGTCACTCAGCCTCAGTTTACTCATTCATAAAGTGAGAATAATACTTTTTCTTGCCTGAAATCACAAAAATAACTTGAGAAGACTATAACCGTAGAAATAGGAAATAGACTGTCACATTATTATTTTAAAAACCTAAGACACAGTGAGTTTGATTTCCTACTAACATAAATGTGTTTTACATTTGTAACAATGCAATGAAGCATAGAAGATTTTTTAAATCTCTCATCAGAACAAATTGCCAGAGTCCTGTCAATTCTTTTTCTCATCATAGTGGTTAATGACTGTAGTTATCAGAGGACTTTTAAAAGCATGGTGTTTCACTAAAATTCTTGCATTGTTTGCTGGATACTTCTGTTTGGAGACCCGGTATCTTTAGTACTGGAAACAGGAATAATTTTCCTATTTCACGGAATGTGGATCTAATTTTTCTGAGTTTATTATGATCCCAAATGAATGTGTTTAATAAGCATATACATCTTTATCTGTTCTTGTCTTTTTCTTTTCTATTCATTATCAACCTCTAGTAGAAAACTTATGATTGAGCCTACTAAATTCTTTTTAGCTTCTTTATAGGATTGTTGTGAGAATTAAGTGAGTTAATACACATAAAGCACTTCGAACACTTGTCGATGCAATGAATAGCTAGTTGTAGTAGTAATAGTAATGTCTTCACTAAGGCTGCAGTCCTACAAGTGGCCACATGAGGGCAACTTTAGGAAAGTACCTGGTAATTAATTGATCATAATCTTGAGGACAGATGGGCACTTAATTGCCTTCATGGGGATACAGGGCATTAGAGGAAGGAGGCTGGTTTGCAGAAACCACAGCAACTGAAACATTAGGAGTACCGGATAGGTCTAAGTATCAGAGCAGTAGCAGGTGGTAAAGTATTTTGGTATTTTGAAAATCTGCGTCAAGCTTCTCTAACCCATGGCCCATGGGCTGCATGTGGCCCAGGACAGCTTTGAACACGGCCCAACATAAATTTGTAAACTGTCTTAAAACATTATGAGTTTTTTTGTGATTTTTTTTCTTTTGCTCATTAGCTATCATTACTGTTAGTATGTATTATGTGTTGCCCAAGACAATTCTTCCAGTGTGGCCTAGGGAAGACAAAAGATTGAATACCCCTGGTCCGTTTGATTGTAGTGGTATGAACTAGCTGATTATTAGCCCTGAGCAGAGTAATTTTTCTTTAGGAATGTATCTTTCTTTGAAACATCCATGGGCATACATATTCTAAATGTATCATGCCAGTAAGAAATAAAAGATTTTCCATTTTGCTTGGCTTTACAGGAAAAGATGGGTAAATTGAAAATGACTTGAGTAGAACCTCTTGTAAGATCACTGGAAGATTATAAGATATAGAATATTGTAGCTTTTTAGATATAAAAACAATGAAGCATATTTGCCCATCAGTTCTGAGTTTCAAACCAATCTCGGGTTTTCAGTGTCATATAGCGTATTCCAGTCAGCTCATTGGGATATATGGTAGCATGTACCACAGTGTGACTTCTGAGCTGCCATGGGATCAAAAGGTAATTGAACTATAGTGATTTTTTATTTTTTCTCTCCCAACAGTGCAATATTATCTTCCTACTTTTTAAATGAACACTTGAACATTCATGGGAAAATAGGCTGCATATTAAGTATATTGGGGTCAACTGTGATGGTTATCCATGCCCCACAAGAAGAGGAAGTCACATCTTTGCATGAAATGGAAATGAAATTGAGAGACCCAGGTCTGTGATTCACCCTAAAGAACCACTCAAATTCTGCTCCACTTTCTCTCCTCACCAAATAGTATCTGTAATAATATTGTAATAAACTTTCTACATTGTGAGCTGCATTGTGGGTTGTGAGACACAGTGAGGTTTGATTATTATTTCTCCTGAAAAGATGGCAGAACTTATTTTTGTGTTCATGCTTCCCGTCTTACACAATGAAAGGGAGAGATGGGGATGGTAGAGGCAAGAGACATATTCAAAATCAAATCTTTGCCACTTTCTTCCTCTGAAAATAAAAAATTACTCTGATAATATTTGCCCTAGCTCATAGTGGTATTGGTGACATTTAAATGATAAGTTTGTGAAAATTCTTCGTAAAATATTGAGAACTATGCAATATAATGTTGTTTTTAATTTGATCTCACTTCTGTTTCTAAAATACCTATGCTCTTAAACTCATGACTAACAAGATTTCAGAAAGGTATAATCCTGTGAGCATTTTCTAACGTCAAATTCTTTTCTCCTCCTAACAGGGTTTATTTCTTTTGCTGTGATCATAACTGTGATCTCCTTGGTGCTGATTTTGATTGTGGCTCCAAAGAAAGGACAGACCAATATATTGGTTTATATTTCAATCTGTTCCTTGATTGGAGCGTTTTCAGTTTCTTCTGTCAAAGGCCTGGGAATTGCCATTAAGGAGCTGATAGAATGGAAGCCAGTTTACAAACATCCCCTGGTCTTTGTTTTGCTGGCTGTACTTGTGCTTTCAGTAACTACACAGATTAACTATCTCAACAAGGCACTGGACACCTTTAATACCTCTCTTGTGACACCCATTTATTATGTATTCTTCACATCCATGGTAGTCACTTGCTCTGCCGTCTTATTCCAAGAGTGGTATGGCATGACAGCTGGAGATATCATTGGGACCCTGAGTGGATTCTTCACTATTATCATTGGCATCTTCCTTCTACATGCTTTTAAAAATACTGACATTACTTGGAGTGAGCTTACATCCACTGCTAAGAAAGAAGCCATCTCTCTGAATGTCAATGAAAACAATTATGTTTTACTAGAGAACTTGGAGTGTTCAGCCCCGGGATACAATGATGACGTTACCTTGTTTAGTAGAACTGATGACTGAAGTCTCTAGAAACACTGAGTTTTAACCAATATGAGACACACGAAGAGGAAAATGAATGCTTGCTTCCTGGAAGAAATGCTAGGAAAGTTAGCATTTTTACAGTTCTAACTAATTTAGATGTGAGGCCAAGTAAAAATGCCATTTTTTTGGCAGTCGAATTTGGAAATCAAATTCATTTTCCTCCAGAAGACTTCTGCTGCTTTTCATTTCTAAAAACTTTGAAATACTCTCTAAGGATCAAAGAAGTCAAAGTGCTATGTGTGTCTCAGAATAATCTCCTTCTTCTGGTCACAATATCTTTGTCTCTGCCAAGTGGCTCTTCATTTCTTTGGTGGCTATTTTTAGACTCACAGTCATTCACCAATATAAAGTTAGCAGCGTTCTGACAGACACAGTATCAGTCATATTCTCCGTTGAGTCATAATTTCAAATTATTAAAACTGAGAAGAGAGGCCAGGTATGGTGGTTCACACCTGTAATCCTAGCACTTTGGGAGGCCAAGGCGGGCAGATCACTTGAGCTCAGGAGTTTGAGACCACCCTGGGCCACAAGGCGAGACCCTGTCTCTACAAAAAATACAAAAATTAATCAGGCATGGTGGCACATGCCTATAGTCCCAACCACTTGAGGCTGAAGTGGGAGGATCGCTTGAGTCTGCAAGGTTGGGGCTGCCATGAGCCCAGGTTGCGCTACTGCGCTCCAGCCTGGGTGACAAAGTAAGACCCTGTCTCAAAAAAGAAGAAAAAGGGCAAGGGGCTTTTGCTTTAAAAAACTTTTTTTAAAATTGAGAAGTGAGATCACAGGTGCTTTGTTCTTCCTTCTGCACCTTCCTTCTTAAACTAGATAATTAATTAGTTATTTTAAGAAAAAAGAAATTAAAAAAAAAAAGCCTGCTTTATTTGTTAGTGGGCTAGAATACACAAGACACAGCCACCCATAAAGAGTTTATGAATTGTGACTCACCGACATACCATAAGAATTTACTACCAGTTAAAGAGGGAGAATGTAGGAAGAGAAAAGTACTTCACATAAAGGAAAACGTTTTCTTCTCACAAAAACACAGACGCGTGATTGTTTTCACAGGTTCCATTAATTAACTCAGGTCTGGAAGACATAGGACAAAATGGAGTTTCTGAAGAAGTCCGGGTGAATTCAGCTTTGGAGGCACTTATGTTCATTTTTTTTTTCCTTTCTTTTAGTATTATCCTAAAGGTTATTTTTCTTGTTGATATAGAGATTTTTGTAAAAGATTGCTACATTATTCAGGATTGTATCCTACACTTCAATTGCTCTCAAATGTTTTAACCCTAAAGAGTGGGTTTTCCACAGACTGGAAGCAACTAGAAAAATCTTTGTGAAAAATCTGAACAAATTATCACAATGGCTCTCTTGAAATTTTGCACTTTCACCCTTATTAAGGAAATTATAATTAGTTACTAACCTTTAAAAATAGGTATATTCTAATAGGATAGAAAGTTAACTTCCTGGCAAACAAAATACGAAGATCTCAGGGACTACTGCAGGAAAATACCTTTTTTGCACATTAAAACGTTTATAAAATTTTCCTCTCTCATTTCAAATGCATGGCAGGAATAACATTTTTGGTGGTCTTTAATGTAATGGACAGATTTACTGTCACATTGATTTTATGGAAAATAAATTGGCTATCTTATTTTTATACTAATCTTATTTTTCTCAAAACAAAAATCCTAACCAAAAAGTTGTCATTAAAAAAAAAAAAAAAAAGCAGGTTGACTGAATGTTTTTCTGCTCTAACCTTAAATGTTATTAGGTTTGGTTTTTGTTTCTAAGCTAGTTCAAGACTCCCCAAGGTAATAATGGTAAACTTTATTATTCGGAATTCAATTAAACTGACTTCGGCATTTCCGCAGTTCTGTTAAACAATGACTGATGTTCACAATGACAACCTACCTGAGATGGCTGCAAGGCCCTAATGTTCCATTATACATTATAGTCTTTTCAGCATAGTTTAGTGTTGAGTGCAATTCTAATGCATTCTACGTTTTTGAAAATCAGTAATCCATGGAAGGTCCATGGGTTGATACCTCAGGTCATATACGTGTTTACTCTGTTGATTGCTGTTTCACTTTACTTGTATATCAGATATATAAGCTATGAACACAAGTTTGTAGGAAAAGTATCTTCTGGCTGGGCAGTGGCTCACACCTGTAATTCCAACACTGTGCGGGGCTCAGGTGGGAGGATTTCTAATCGCCAGGAGTTTGAGACCAGTCTGGGCAACAAAGCTAGACCCCACCTCTCTAAAAAATGTAAAAAATATCAGGAGGCTGAATCAGGAGGATCATTTGAGCTTAGGAGTTCAAGGCTGCAGTAAGTTATGATTGCACCACTGCATTCCAGCCTAGGTGACAGAGTAAGACCCTGCCCCAGAATAGTATCTTCTGATAAAGTGGCATTTGAAAATTGCAGAAATTTTAATATTCTTTTAATATTAAGAACGTTATTGATCTCTCTAGGACACCTTCTTGGTGAGGAAATCAATGGCATTTTTCTTGACATCCAACCTGGGACTCTGGTGATTCTCTGTTCTGGTGAATTTAAGTTTCAGACATTTCTTTGTGTCACCTTTTACAAACTGTTTGCCCTTGGTACGTTATGAGCAGGTCAAAGGTTCCCAAACACAAGGTTCATTGTGTACCCTGGACAGGAAATTGAACTGGTGTTGACATGTATGCATGCCCAGGAGGAAGACTGGGAAATATTTAATGAGTTGAAGTATGCTGAGAAACAATGAAATATTTGAAAACTGTCTACATAAAAGTTACTGATGCATTTTAAAAACTGCATTAAAAAAACAAACTATTATTGCAAATCTAACACTAAAAAATTTTTGGCTGGGTGCAGTGGCTCACACCTGTAATCCCAGCACTTTGCGAGGCTGAGGCGGGTAGATCATCAGGTCAGGAGTTCAAGACCAGCCTGGCCAACATGGTGAAACCCTGTTTCTACCAAAAATACAAAAATCAGCCAGGTGTGGTGGCAGGTGCCTATAATCCCAGCTACTCTGGAGGCTGAGACAGAGAATTGCTTGAACCCAGGAGGGGCAGGTTGCAGTGAGCCAATATTTCACCACCGCACTCCAGCCTGGGTGACAGCAAGACTCCATCTCAAAAAAAAAAGAAATTCCAAATGGGAAGATACTATCTAAGGAAGAATAAAATGCTGGATCCCTATGTTCAGACTATTAGTCTTAACTGGTAGTTTATGTATATATTTTAATACTTTGTCATCATGTACATATCTTAAAATTTCTTATGCGAATATCTGCATGTGTGTCGTTAAGGATTACAAAGTTGTGCTCACATAGGACAAATGGAAAGATTTTCCTACTTCTGTAAAGATAAGTTTCATTATACTTTCGTTTTACAGTTTTATTCTTAGGTCAATGGTTATTTATTATAAGTTCAGATTGCACAATTTTCATAAGACCCTTTAGATTTAGCACATGAAATTAACACATATTTTAAAGTATTAAATATATGGAAAGGATCTGGCATTATGCTTGATAATAGGCACTTAGTAAAATTTACTTTTCTTTGAATCAGCATTTGAATTCTTATAGTCTTGTCACTAGAGACTTAAGGACCATTGAGTGCCAATTTTTATACATTCATCATTTCTCAATTTGTCACATTATCTCATTTTAAATAATGCGAGTGAAAGTGAATTCATCGTACTGTATCAACGCCAATACAAAAGTATTCCAACAAAAATATTTTTCTTAATAAAACCAGAAAAACTGAACTAAATGCTATTTTCCCCTTCCAACAAAGCTTTGCAGAAAAACATATGAATATATGAAATATTCTCAAATATTTTGAATAAACTGTTCCTGAAGTCTTATATTTTGCAAGTGTTTATACTGTTCATTTTAGAAAGTTTATAAATCTTAAATGTGTGTATATTTTTCATTTGCAATAAAATGTGATTTAATTATGCTTTTGAGTTCAGTTTTTAGTTTATAAATGTTAAACATATATAATGGCAAAACTATTGCCATTTTGTTTTGAGATTAAAAGGAAAGTTTCAGGCTGGGCCCGTGGCTCATGCCTGTAATCCCAGCACTTTGGGAGGCCGAGGGCAGATCACTTGAGGTCAGGAGTTCGAGACCAGCCTGGCCAACATGGTGAAACCCTGTCTCTACTAAAAATATAAAAAACTAACTGGGCATGGTGGCACGCGCCTGTAATCCCAGCTACTTGGGATGCTGAGGCAGGATAATTGCTTGAACCTGGGAGGCAGAGGTTGCACTGAGCTGAGATTGTGCCACTGCACTGCAGCCTGAGCAACACAGCAAGACTCTGACTCATTTCAAAAAATAAAAAAAGTTTCAGGGTTTCAAAAAACAAAAACAAAAAACTGCACTGATGTTAATGTTGCTATTTCACTTCCCTTGAAATTGAAATTTGTTTTTAAAAGCCTCTCTGCAAGACCATCTCCCATATAACAGCTTAAACAAAAGCACCTTGAAAGAAACTCGAATCCTTCAAATTGAACAAAAGCTCAAAGCTGTTAATAATAAAATCTCCCCTCAGAACAATAACTAGTATAAATATATTTAGCACCATGCTTTATAAACCCTCAGTGAGTTTTCTTCTAGCTCTGTGGAACTACAGCTTTGTTTAAATTATCTAGGGGCTGGGTGCAGTGGCTCAAGCCTATAATCCCAGCACTGGGAGGCCAAGGTGGGAGGATTGCTAGAGGCCAGGAGTTTGAGACCAACCTGGGCCATAAAACTAGACCCTGTCTCTACAAAAATTTTTAAAAACATTAGCCAAGTGTGGTGGCATGTTCCTGTAGTTCCAACTACTTAGGAGACAGAAGTAAGAGATTCCCTTGAGTCCAGGAATTGTAGGCTACAGTGAGCTATAATCACGCCACTGCACTCCAGCCTGGATGACAGGGCAAAACCCTGTCTCAAGACCCCAAAAGAGGCTGGGTCCAGTGGCTCACACCTGTAATCCCAGCACTTTGGGAGGATGAGGCTGGCAGATTACCTGAGGTCAGGAGCTCAGGTGAGTTTCATCCAGCCTGGAGGTTTCATCATGGCCAACATGACAAAACCCCATCTCTACTAAAAATACAAAAGTTAGCCAGGCTTGGTGGCATGTGCCTGTAATTCCTTGAGATGCTGAGGAAGGAGAATTGCTTGAACCTGGGAAGTGGAGGTTGCGGTGAGCCGAAATCGTGCCATTGTACTCCAGCCTGGGCAACAAGAGTGAAGCTCCATTCTCCAAAAAACAACAACAACAACAACAACAACAAAAAGAAAATCTCTACATTACCTCTAGAATGGATCCTGGGTAATGACATATGGCTCCTCCCTGAGTTATTTGTGCCTCTCAAACATCCAAAAAATAAACTCAAACATGTCCCATAGCTCAAGGCCAATAACACAGATTGTTTCAGGACTGGGCAAAATACCTTTGTAACTGCCCAGTGGTTTCAACCTTGCCCCACTGACTAGACAGAGCCAATTTATCAAGACAGGGAAATTGCAATGGAGAAAGTTATTCAAGCAGAGCTGGCTAGTGCGGAGACAGGAGTTTTTTTATTACTCAAATCAGTCTCCCCGAGTATTTGGGGATCAGAGTTTTTAAGGAAATTTTGGTGGGTGGGGGGCCAGTGAGTCAGGAGTGTTGGTTGGCTGGATTGGGGATGAAATCATAGGGAGTAGAAGCTGTCTTGTGGCGAGTCAGTTCCTGGGTTGGGGCCACAAGACCCAATGAGCCAGTGTATCCATCTGGGTGGTGCCAGCTGATCCACCAGGTGCAGGGTCTACAAAATCTCTCAAGCACTGATCTTAGGTTTTACAGTAGTGATGTTAGCCCCAGGAGCAATTTGGGGAGGGTCAGAATTTTGTAACATCCAGCTGCATGACTCGTAAACCATAATTTATAATTTTGTGGTGAATTCTTTAGTCCTACAAAGGCAGTCTATTCCACAGGCAAGAAAGGGTTTGTTTTGGGAAAGGGCTGTTAGCTTTTTTGTTTCAAAGTTAAAATGTAAACTAAGTTCCTCCCAAAGTTAGTTCGGCCTATGCCCAGGAATGAACAAGGACAGCTTGGAGGTTGGAAGCAAGATGGAGTGAGTTAGGTCAGACATCTTTCACCGCAACAATCCTCTTAGTTATATTCTGCAAAGCTGGTTTCAGCCCTTCAGCTCAAAAGGCCTCTTTGTCGCTCAATTCACTTTTGCCTTTGTGTTCACTGCTAATGTTTCACTGTATTAACAAGAGTTTTCAATAAAAATGTATTTCAATAAAAGAAATCTCTCCTCTCCTTAACCCATGGAACTGTAAAGCTGGGTTAGAATGGGCAAGACTTGGAAGAAAAAGAAAACAAATTCTCACGGGAAGAATGAAATGAGGCTTTGTTTACCATTGTTAGCTTGCTCGAACTTAATTCCTTCTGAGTAGTCTTGCATGCACATTTTTAAAAGGCAAGGCTTTCTATCAGTTTTGAGTCTCTGCTTTCAGGATCTCAGGGCATGAATTTAAATAACAGTGATTTGGTCTTTTCAGCCAATACTGAAACAGACTGTATCAAGTTTACCTGGGCAAAAAGGACCAGCATCAGTGCCATGTTGATTTCTCACTGTAAAACCAAACTGGTTTAGAATCAGACAGACCTAAGGAATTCAATGCAATTCAGGTTACACAAAACAGTTCCACTTCTTACAGGGAGCCCTGCTGATTGAAGATTAACCTGCAGCAAAAAGGAAAAGTAAAAAGCGTGGAGGAACTGGTCAAACTAGATAAAGTGTTACGCTCTTTGTTTCGCTGTTCAGTGTGAGATAGCAGGGGCTGGAGAAAGGAGATACCTGCAATGTAAATACATGA